GTTGTAGCAAAATTGGATTATCGTTTCTCTTTTTGTGCAAAAAATATTTTTTTAAAATTTCGACCTTTTGTGAGGGAAGTACCAGAAGGAGTGGACCGATATATTCTATTTTTACACCAGACCTTGGGTTATTAAAATTATTGGGATGTGTAAAATGTGAAGACAATCGGACTGTTACATCACATTTTATATGAGTCGTAATTATTCAAAATTTTGACCCTTTGTGGGGGAGTTACCTGATGTACCGATATTGTCAATTTTCGCACCTGACCACTAATGAAAATAATAGGATTCCCAAAGTGGGAGCAAAATCGGATTATCCTTTCTCTTTCAATAAATTATTTTCTTTGAAAATTTTGACATTTTGTGTGGGAGGTACCAGAAGGAGTGGACCGATATTGCCCATCTCCGAACTCGATCTAAGTTTGACAAAAATATTAAGATATTCCGAGTTTGGACCAAATCAAATGCTCCCCTCGAGAGCTATCATGCGCACCATCCAGTCAGACATATAGACGGACGACATTGCTAGATCGACTCCAAATGTCCTGACACGGATTTGGTCCAAAGAGACCTAGGGTCAAAAACCGTTATTTCGACTAGACACGTTTTGACCGTATCAAATGATACATACCCTCTCTAGCCATATTGCGTAGGGTATAAAAAGCTGGCGCGTTTTTTAAATTTTAAAAATCCAAAACTCGTTCATAAATAATTTAAAATTCTTTGATAACATACTGTTAGATAATATGGATTTTGAGTTCTATAGTTTTAAAAATCCAGGATTACAGATTGATGTGTCCTTCTAAATCATAGATTAAGAACCAACGATTATATATCAAAAATATAAAAAAAAAAACTACAGTTAAACCTATTACAAATACATCGAACTAAGCTCTTGGATAAACAATTGTATATATAATTATATCATATTTTCACTTACACTCACGTGTCTTTCACATACACACCTACATTTCCAGGCAAATGTAAATGTCTTCTATGTGTGGTTATCCAACAATTAAGCCATTTAACTGGCATATTCTTTGTGAAGGCTACACAAAAGGACAACATAATGTAATTAGAGAATACTTAAGTCATAAGACTTCTATGGATTTGAAAATGGCTCAAAATGCACAAAAGGTAAAATGCCACGAATGGTGGGACTGATGCAATAAATGCACCTAATCGGATTCGGAAGAAGTCTTATGCTGTTGTTCGTAATGAGATTGTTATGTAAATCGTATGACAAAATGTATTTTAAAATGAATGAAAATAATTGTAATGAAAGTTATTATACCATAAGTCATACTTTGAATTGTTATGATATTTTACCATTATTATATACCCGAAAATGCCATGCTACGAATAGAAAATCTAAAAGAATTGATTGATTTGATATCTATTATCATTTTCGAAAATGTTATTTATTTTTCCAAATATTTCAATTTTATTTTAAAATATATCCTAGTTCAAAAAATTTTTTTTTTTTGGAAAATCGTTTCAATTTCTCTACAAACAAACGTGCTACTTTTGTAGAAAGGGAAATGTTCAAAATCCGTGCAAAGTTTCTTTTCAATATTTCCATTTTAATAGAAATTACAACGATTTTTCTGAAATATACTATTTTTTTCAAAATTGTGATATCCAAAATTGTAATCCTGTAATAGTTTTGTTAATAGCAATTTTTTTGAAAACTTAAGAGATGTCTAAAAAGATGCACAACTTTAATTATGTCCACAGCCATATGACTAGATATATCATTTGATACGGTCAAAACGTCCCTCATCGAAATACCGGTTTTAGACCTTAGGTATCTTTGCACCAAATCCGTTTTAGGACATTTGGAGTCGATCTAGTTAATTATGTCCACACGATAAGTCTCGAAGAGGGTATCCGATTTGGTCCTAACTTGGTAACAATAATATTATCATCAAGCTTATATCGAGTTCGGAGATGGGCAATATCAGTCCACTCCTTCCGGTAGCTCCATCACAAAGGTTCAAAATTTCGAAGAATTATGACTCTTATAAAATGTGATTTAAGAGTCCGATTGCCTTCAAATAACAAACATCACAATATATTTATTAATCCAACGTCTGATGTGAAGATGTTATAAAGATGACAGAGATCGGAACAATCATTTTGGTACCTCCTCCACAAAGGGTCAAAGTTTGGAATAACCAAAACGATTATAAAATCTGAAAAAAGTATTCGGTTCTCTTCATATTTGGCACATCCCATTATTTCTACTAACACAAGATTTGCTATGAAGATGGAATATATCGATCCACTCTTTCTGGTACCTCCCCCAGAAATGAAGCTCATAAAATGCGAAATTAACATCCGATTTCATGAAGACTTGGTACACAAGATCTATTAGAAAGATGGTAAAGATCGGGCCAATTTTTCTAGTACCCCTCCAACATAGGATTCAAGATTTTGAAAAACAAACGCTCAAAGAAAGCGAAATAAGCATCCACCTCTCTTCAAATTTCACATATACTCGTACAAACATTTTTGCTAACACAAGATCTGTTGTGAATATGATATATATTTCTGCGAACGCCTTCTGAAACCTCAACAACAATGGGTCACAATGTTCAATATTTTTAAAAAACTCAGCGATTCTTTACAACCAACAACCTTATCTGAATATGAAATTTATGATTTCGCATAAAATTGGTTATAAATTTTCGATTTTCTTGTAATTTTCCAATTATCAATATTTTTATCTACATTAGATGAAAAATGAAAATGGAATTTTTCGGTCGACTATATTTTTTTTCTAATTTTTTTTTTCATTTTCATTTTTAAATTTTCTAAAAATTATCACATATCTCATACAAAGTGAAGAAAATAACCCATATAGTCACATTTATTTAATACCGATACAAAATAGATAATGTTGGTCCATTCCTTCGGAACCTACTCCATAGGGGGGCAACAATTTGAATAACCATAACACAAGTCAAATATATTTAAATATTCGAACATTGGCTGAGGACAGATGTATGTCGGTCCGTCTGTCCATGTTAATTTGTAATCACTCTACAGGTCGCAATTATGGCCCGATCTTCACGAAATTTAAAATGTAGGTGGGGTTACGGTCAGAATAGAACCCTATTTCTTTTGAAGATGATCGCATAATATTTAGGGGTTGAAATGGACTAAAAACTGAAAAAATCCTGATTTTGCAGTACAGGTCTACAGGTCACAACTATAGACCAATCGAAGCGAAAGTTAGCACGGGGCTAGAGCTTTGGGCTGGGCAGAAGCCTTCCAATTTTGATGGTCATCGGGTAATATTTAGTGGTCGAAATAGACCATAGCATTTTTGATAAATAAGTCAAATTTTCCATTAAACCGCGAATATTTTTAATGCCGACGAAATCACAAATAGACGAACAGGTCAATTCTGACCGTTACGTAGATGCCGATAGTAAAAATATCGGATATATATAGCGAAATATATACAATGTGTATATACAAAGGAAAGGAATGTTAGGTAGAATGCTTATATCTCAAGAATGGCTGGAGCGATTCTGACAAATTTTGTTAATTTAGAATGCCTTTTTGGCATAAAAGTATAAAATCTAAAAAAATCTTATAAAAAGGTGCCAACAATGATGTTAATATAGATTTTGTAGTATTTTGTGACATTTTTTTATTTTTTCATATTTTTATGGCATGCGATTTTTTCAATTTGACTTATAATATTGAAGTGTATATTTTTTTAATATTTTTGCACTTTACAACACAGGTTGTGGTTATTATTTATATACAGATTGCAATTATTGTTCGATCCTCACGAAATTTTTGACAAAGGTTAGGCTCAGAAAGGCTAAGCCTATTGTTTTCAAAGATGTCCGCAATATATTTAGGGTTTGAAATGGACAAGCAACTCAAAATGTTCCTTATTTTGCAGCCATTATGAAGGTCACAAATAGCAACCAAAGGACACGAAATCTCGCATGAAGTTAGAATTTAAGACAGCGGGTAGAATGGACCATTACTTTTGTGTGAAAAAATACCAACATTACTTACAGGCGATATCCGAAATACACAATAGGCGAACTTCTGGCTTTTTTATGCTGATTTCGTTTACGAATATAGCCAAATATCGCAGACAAGCAAATCATATAAATGAGTCTAAATTTGGAGACACAGAGGGGCCTCTTGCTTTTAAAGATGATCGCAAAATATTAGGGGATTCAAATGAACCAAAAACAGAAAAAAATTCCTGATCACACAATTGAAGCCAATCGACACGCCTGAGAAGGTAGTTAAGCACAGGGAAGAATTCTGGCATTTTGGATGACCATTGGATTTTATTTAGCCGTAAAATAGACCACAAAAACTAACAGCACGACGTAGTGCATAAATATTGGGAAAATGTCTCTGGTCAAAATGCTAAGGGCTCCATAACATAATTTCAAAAGTGACACCTTTCAAAATGGATTTGGACATGAAGGGGCTTCTAACATATTGTAGTGTTGTAGGGTATCACATGATCGGCCCCGCACGACTATAGCCTTCGCTTACTTGTTTTTTTTTTTAATATATTTGGCATTAGGAATATTGAAAAAAATCAATACAACTTTTTTCGAAAATAGAAATTCCAAGGGATACAATATTTAGATACAATAGCAATCGTATTGAAACAAAGGCAGACAGAAGTTAGTACGCTCCTAAAGTGACTAAAATACGGTAACGATCACAGGATCCATTTTTATGCAATATAAAGGAAGCATGAAGATTTTCGTCATCATCAAAAAATTGTCAAACCGACCTATTGGAACTGCAAAATTATCCTTAATAAATCGTTATGAAAATAAAGTTTTTCTTTCTTAATAGATATATATGTATTTAATTTTCCTCTGTACCACCAAAATATGAACTGTGCAATAAAAAAAAATAAATCTTAAAAATCTAAAATGTACGGATGTGAAAAAATAATAACAAAATAATGTCAAATGAAATTCTTATTAACTGAAATAAATTTAAATTTCATTAATACTATCATTAGGACTGGCGGTAGTCGTTGTAGTAGTGGTGGTGGTCGTCGTCGTAGTTGTGGGATCCTCAGAACCTTTAACGACTAATGCATCACCGAAAATCGGTTTGAAGAACAATACGAAACGTGAGTAACGGCGAGCTGAATTCTGTATGTAAATTAAATGTGAGAAAAATAACAGTTATCATAAACATTTAAAAGTTACTTTAAAGCTCTTGTAAAACAAGAGCTTTTTTAAAATTGCAATGATAAAAGTCATAGCTAATGTCTGTGTTAGCTTTTGCAAAATCCTCCATCAAGTTTATATTAAAGTTGCCGTTTCCTATAAAATCACTTACCATAATCAATCTGGAAATTGTCTGTGAAATTCTGGTCAAAGAGGAAAATGATTGATTGAATAGCTCATCGGGAAAATCGAGGGAAACATTGGTGCGGTCAAATTCGGGCGTATCATCGGGATAGTTTTTAATGCTGGCTCTCTTGACACGAATGTGTTCTTTCTGTAAAATAAAAAAAAAACAAATATATTGTTAAATATTTCTAAACAAATTTTTTGTTAAGATAAATATAAATGAGAGTGTTTTGTGAGTTGTTGAGTCCAAAACTTTGGTTTTTAAAATCCATGCATACAAAAAGAAACGAAAATATTATTCAACATAATTTATGCCCACAGAAACAAAATAGTTCAATACTTTTTTTAAGTATTATTAACAGTAAAGAAAGTCCTACAGTCGGGCGGGCCTACTTTATGATACCCTACACCACTTTGCTAATTTAGTGGAGCTCCGCATAACAATTAAAAGTTTTTATGGGAGAATTCAATCATACACGCTATGATTATAATTATAATTTAAAGTTCAAAGGACCAAATATGCCGAAGCATTTGTATCTTTTAAATTCGGACTAGTATTGCCATTTGGTGCACAATTAATTTGAAATAAAGATATATTTGGGAGCTATATCCAAATCGGAACCGATCTCGATAAAATTTGATATTTCTGAGCTGTATTTGATATATTTCTTTGAATATCGTTGTTACGGAGTGCATGTTACGGATGTGGGTAACAAATATAACAAATCGGATGAACAGTATATATGGGAGCTATAGCTATATCTGAACCGATCTTCACCAAATCATATACTACATACTAGCTTCTAGACTCAATTCGGTCGTAAGTGCCAAATTCCATCCCATTTGGACAAATATTAGACGTTTGGTGCACAATAAAAGGTAAATCGGACGAAGTTATACATGGGAGCTACATATATCCAAATCTGAACAGACCTCGATAAAATTTAGCAAATGTATTTCTGAGCTGTATTTCATATATTTCCCCAAATATTGTGCATATTACGGCTGCGGAGGACAAAAATAACAAATCGGATGAACAATATATATGGGAGCTATCGCTATATCTGAACCGATTTCGATCAAAATTGGCATACTTATTTTCAGACCTAATTGTAATGTGTGTGCAAAATTCCATACAATTCGGACTTGTATTACAATTTGTGCACAATAAAAGGCAAATCGGACGAAGATATATATGGGAGCTATATCTAAATTTTGACCGATTATCTCCAATTTCAATAGGGTTCGTCCTTGGGCCAAACAAATGATTGTGCAAAATTTTATCTGTATAGGGAAATATATGCGAACTGTTTTTTGTTTACAAAAATACATGGACAGACGGACTCAGAATGTGATTCTATGCAGATCATCAAAAGGAACTATGGGTCTATCACGTTTCCTTTTGCCTGTGACTTACCGCGAATCTGTCTTTTGGGGTATTTTATGTACTATCCCAAAATAAATTTTCAACCCGCCATACTTTGGCCCATTTATTCCTACATAGTGTTACTGACCAGCACAAAATTATAGAGCTACTTCTAAATTTTCTTATGTAGTTCTTATATATTTTATTCCAACTATAAATAAATAATCTATATTTTGACATTTCTTACTTTTATATTTTTATATCAACGATCACAAATACCTCCAGATTTTTCCTTTTTACTTTCAGTCTACAAAAGGTATATTTTATTTGATATCTTTGGTATCTAGCCCACAAAAGATCCAAGTGTTACAAAAAAATGGACGGTACGAAAATTGATATTTTATTCCACATTTTCTCGTACATCCCTATTAAAGATCAAAATTTTTAATATTGAACAACTTCGATATAAAACAGTCCACTTTCATTTAAATTTCGGATATCCTGAAATTTTTTATTAATGTAAGAGCATGTTGAAAAAATGTTTGTACACGAAATTGCAGAGGAGAATATTGGCAACATTTGAATTCAATAGGAGGTCCACAAAACAGGAACCACACTCAATTTTCAAAAAAAAAGGTATTTGATGCACCCCTTGTCTTACATGAAAAGAATCGAGGTCCGAGTTGATATTTACTCCAGACTTAGCACTGGAAATATTATAGAAATACTTGACCAACTGCTTCTCGTACATTTTCAATACCAATAACTTTCATAAATATGAAAAAACAGTTCAGTACTCTTTTTACCTGCCTCTTCTCAAATTCTAATATTGGTGTCAGCTTTAAGTCAAATGCGAAAATTAGCAATGTCTCTAGTACATCCCAAGCAAGGGCTTAAAACTTTGAATAATCATAACTCTTTTAAAATAAAAATTACTAAATAAGACTCAAACTGTTTTTAAATTTCACATGGCCACGCCCAGTACCATCACCACAAAGGGTCAATAACCAAAACGATCATAAAATGCGAAATAAGAATGTTGTTCCCTTCATATTTCACACATTCCACAATTTCTACTTACACAAGATCTGCTGTGAAGATGGGATGTATCGGTCCTCTCCTTCTGGCACCAACCCCCTCCCCCCACAAAGGGTCAAATTTAGAATATCCATGAAGCTCATAAAACGCGAAATTTACATCCGATTTAGATTTGGTAAATCTCAATATTTCCATCAACACAATATCTGTTATAAAGATTTCTTCTGCTACCTGCCCCACATCCGATTCAAGATTTTGAAAAACAAAACGCTCAAAAATTTCACACATACAAAAATGAAAATACAAGATCTGTTGTGAAGATGATATAAATCTGCAAAACCCTTCTGGTACCTCAATTCTGTTATCTGTCATAACTTGCGAAACAAGACAGCGATTCTTTACAACTTGGTATATCTAAATATTTCTCTCAACCAGAATCCTGAGATAAATATGGCATTTATGATTTCGTATAAAATTGGATAAAAATGTTATAAGTTTGGTTGGGCCAAAAATTATGTAACACCTCGAAATATTGTTTTCCCACATAGGAAAGTATATATGGATCTTCCTTTCTTGCCGGGCTGAGTCGATCTAGCTATGTATGTCCGTCCGTCCATCTGCCCGTCTGTCCATGTTAATTTGTAATCAAGCTACAGGTCGCAATTATGGCAAGATTCTCACGAAATTGAAAATGTATATGGGGTTAGGGTCAGAATAGAAGCCTATTGTTTTTGGAGATGATCGCACATATTTAGTATCTGAAATGGACCAAAAACAGAAAAAATCCTGAATTTGCAGTTGTTCTACAGGTCGCAATTACAGACCAATCGACACGGAATTCAGCATGAGGCTGGAGTATAGGGGTGTTCAGAAGCCTACCATTTTGTGTGGTCATCGGTCAATATTTAGCGTGTAAAATAGACCCTAATTTTTTATGTAAGAAACTACGAAAAATTCCACTAAACCGCGAATATTTTTAATCCCGGCGAAATCACAAATTCATTAAAATGTTACTTCTGACCGTTACAGTGATACTGATAGCAAAGATATAGGATATATAGCAAAATAGGTAATATATCTAAAAGAAACAGATCTTATATATTCAGTTTATAAGTCAAGATCCACTGGGTCAGTTTTCAAAATCAAATCAAAATCTCATCAATTCAGAATGGCTTCTAGCCAGAAGAGGATAAAATCTAATAAAATCGCGGCAAATTATGCCATTAAAAAAAGAAAATATTTTTTGTTAAAATTTTTGAATTTTTGTCATATTTTTTATCGCATGCGATTTTTCAATTTGACTTACAATTTTGAGTTATACATTTTATAAAGTTTTTCTACACCCCGCAAAACTATGTTTAAGTATATTATCTACAGGTCGTAATTATCGTCCCATCCTCAAAAATTTTGGAATGGTGGTCGGATTAGGGCCTAATTTAAAGGCTATTGTTTTTGAAGATGTACATATATGGGTTGAAATGGACCAAACAAATTTAAAATATTCTGATTTTACAGTCGCTCTACAGGTTTGAAGACCAATCGACAAGGGATTTTGCATGAGAAGAGACTTAAGGACAGGGACAAAGTCTAGCATTTTGAATGACCCTTGGACTTAGCAGTAAAAGGGACCACTTCTTTCGTGTGAACTTGTTTTGAATACCTAAAAACACCAAATCGTAATAGGATTTGTGTGTTGTAGGGTACCACATGGTCGGCCCGCACGACTATAGCATTTGCTTACTTGTTAGTAATTTTTATACCCTACAACACTATGTGTTGGGGGTATTATAAATTTGAGTGGGCAAAAAATTATGTAACACCTCGAAATATTGGTTTCCCACATAGGAAAGTATATATGGATCTTCCTATCACGCCGAGCTGAGTCGATCTAGCTATGTATATCCGTCCGTTCATCTGTCCTTCTGCCCATGTTAATTTGTAATCACTCTACAGGTCGCAATTATGGGCCGATTTTCACGAAATTTAGAATGGAGGTGGGGCTAGGGCCAGAACCCTATTGCTTTTGGAGATGATCGCATGGACCAAAAACTGAAGATTTTCCTGATTTTGCAGTTGCTCTACAGGTCGCAATTATAGACCAAACGACGCAATAGTCCAAACCTGACACGTCGCAATATTTATATCATATTTATTTAGGTCCGATACGAAGTGGACAATATTGGACCATTCTTTCGGTACCTACTCCATGGAGAGTCAAAAATTTGAATAAACATAACAGAAGTCAAAATATATTTAAATAATCAAACATTGGCTGATGGTATACATCTGTTGGCAAAACCGACTGAGACTTTCAAGAAATACAATCGTATTGTAGGTTGTTGTTTTGAAAAATAAATTTTTCGAATGGAAAAGTTTTTTTCCTTACTTTTCTCCTTTATTTCAATTTAAAAATACAAAAAAAAACATAAAACAAAAAATAACAAATAAAATAAAAAATAAAAAATATACAATATATTATAATTACAAAAAACAGTAGTACAAAAAGAGGGAAAGAATCGGAAAATTGCTATATTAAATATTTACAAAATAATGTGTGTCTCTGTGACAATGGGTGTGTGTACGGTGCGTAGATAGGTTATTGAAATATTATACACATGTATATAAATCGTAATAGGATTTGTTTGTGATACAACTAATAATTATGGTAGATGGAAGAAAATATAGAACAATTTGCTAATTTTATGAGTGATATCGGTGTTCGAATTGTTGTTCTCTTAAAATCGAACAATGGTTACAAATCAAAACTAAATTAAAACTATTAAAAATGTAACAATCCAATTGTACAATAACAAATTTTGTGTTAATTATTTCCATAATTTCTATATGAACACTTATGTATGTACGCATGTTTAGATTTGTATTTAGATATGGGTGTGTGTTTCTGTGTTGGATGCGTTCAAAACCTTCTTGTGTTTGGCATTACAGGAAAGGTCTTCATGATGTTATGTTGGTTATCTAATAACCAGCCTCATCTGAATCAGGTGCTGGAGTAGTTGAACCACCAGCACCGCCACCTGATGATCCTTGCAAGATAGGTCCAGAGAAGCCCAAGAATTTCGACACAATATTGCCCAGACCAGCATTGGGATTGTTGGAGTTACCGCCCGAGGAACTGCCACTGAAGGCTGTGATTGTGGTCAAAACACCGGTGGTCAAGTCATTGGCAATATTGCCAACAACACGAATTTTGGGTGACACAACGGCTGTGATCAAGGATTGGACATCATTGATGGGCACTGGCTTTGGAATATCCCATTGCTTGTTCTTCTCAATGTTGGCACGGTCCAATTGGTCAAGGATGCGAATGTTGGTGTCCAAGAAACCATCGATTTTCTATTAATCCCAAGAGAACGGAGTTGGATGGGGAAGGGGGAGGAGGGGAAGTTAAAGGAGTTGGAAGAAAGAAAAACAAACAAAAAAGGAAAAAGGATTAATGAAAGACATTCAGAACTACATTCGAATATTTCAGCTAATACTTACGCCAAAGACATAACCTAAGACAGCATTTTTGGCCTCAAATGTAGCACCGGCAATTTTTCTTTTGTTACGATCTAAATCATCGCCCGATGTGGCCTAGAAAAATATTCAAATTATATTGAAGAGTGGATAAATTATAAACTCGGTTTTTAATTGTTTAAAAAATCTAATAAAAGCCCCATTTCCACACTCTCTTGCATTAATAAAAAAAATCCAAAGTTTCATTAGAATTTTTCTTTACCGTTACTAATAAAGCATTGAGAATTTTTTAAGCCAAGCAATTGTATATTTAATGTTATATAGCCGATCGTAATAAAGGGAATAGTATGGTTACAAGTTTTAGAGATAACAATAGCCATATAGTTTCAGAATTGGACTTCTTTCCGTCCAAGATATAATTCTTTGAAAAAAATAAGCCAAATAAAAAATGCAGCTGTATCTGGCTGGGATTTGAACCACGGAGTTCGGTATGCAGCTAACTAGAAGTTTGCGTCTCAACGTTCAATGACATTAACCCGTCTTTCCACTATGCATTAAAAGCAATGTCATTGTGGTGGAAAAAAACCATCGCTACAAAAACCAGCTTTTCTATAAAAAAAAAAGTTTTCACCTTGAGTCGAACTCGGATGGTTTCTGGTGTCTAATTATAACATTCGTAATCGCAATACCTTCGACTTTCCAAAAGAAGGGCCTGAGTAAGCCATTTCTTACACCAAATATGACTGACGATACATTCATAGTCAAGGTGGTCCTTTAGGCACGATTCTGTAAAAACCAGACATTCCTTTCCAAAAATTCTTCAGGAAAAGAAAACACAATGGTTGTATAAATCCCAAACTAATAGCAGAGTATATTCTTCACACAAAATCCACGAAAAATATTTAAAAATTTGCACAAGTAGCTCCTCCATAAAACCTTCTTCCAAAATTTTAGATTATACCTCCGCTCGCACAGATACAAATTGGAATCTGAATCAAAGATTATTTTGTTTTTTCTTTTTTTCAAAAACAAACATTTTTTCAAAACAAATACGACAAGTATTTCTGAAATAATCTTTCGAAATCCTGAAAAGAACTATTAAAACTTTTCATTTCCTAAAACTCCACGATTGAGTCTTTAAAAAAATCTTTTAACAATCCGTCGTAAAAATTCTTAAAAAATACAACATTAAAATTCCAGAGATCCGGGATTAAAAATTCTATCAAATCCAAGATTTACGCAATTCATAAATTATCTACAATTAAAGTCTTTAAATGATTCCAAATCCAAGATCTAGTTTCATAAATAAGCAAGTAAGCAAAGGCCGACCATGTGATACCCTACAACACTACAATATGTTGAAAGGCCCCTTATGTCCAAAATCATTTTGGAAGATTTCGTTTTTGATATGATGTCATAGAGCCCTACCCTTAGCTTTTTGACTGGGGGCATTGCCACAATAATTACGTTCTCTGTCGTGTTGTTAGGTATTCAAAATAATTTCACATGAAAGTTCTCCATTTTATAGCTAAATATAATCCAATGGTCATCCAAAATGCTAGACTTCTTCCCTGTCCTTAGCCCTCTTGTCATGCCAAATTTCGTGTCGATTGGTTTTTAAAAATCAGGAAAATTTAATTTTTTGGTCCATTTGAACCCATAAATGTTAATTTTCAATTTGCCACCTGTATGTACTACCCTCAAAACATAGTGTTTAAAAATTTAAAAAAATGTACAATTCAAAATTGCAAGTCAAATTAAAAAAATAGAATGCGATAAAAAAATGTGACAAAAATTGAAAAAAATTTAACAAAAAATATACACTTTTTTATTCGCATATGCTTACGCGATTTTCTTAAATTTTATCCTTTTCTGGCAAAAGACCATTCCGAATTTATTAGAATTGTGAAAATCAGTCCACCGGTTCTTGACGTATCAGCGGTCTAACTAACATCACCTTCTTTAATATATGAGATTGTATATATTTTGCTATAGATGCGAGATATTGGATATGAGCATCAATGTAAAGGTCAGAAGTGACATTTTCGCGTATTTGTGATTTCGCCAGGTTTAGTGGAAATTTTCGTATTTTTTACATAAAATTTGGGGCCTATTTTACATGCTAAATATGGCCCGATGACTATCCAAATTGGTACGTTTCTGACCAGTCATAAACTCTAGCTCCATGCAAAATTCCGTGCCAATTGGTCTATAATTGTACAAACCCAAATTTTTTTTCGTGAAAAAAATAGGGTAATATTCTGACCCTAACCCCACCTCCATTTTCAATTTCGAGAGAATCGGGCCATATTTGCGACCTGTAGCATAATTACAAATTAACATGGCAGGCCGACAGACGGACGGACATACATAGCCAGATCGACTCAGCTCGGAGAGATAGGAAGATCCATATGTACTTTCCTATGTGGGAAACCAATATTTCGAGGTGTTACATAATTTTTGGCCCAATGAAATAATACCCCCAACACATATTGTTGTAAAATGTAAAAATTCAACTTTAAAAAATATCCTAAAAATTACAAAAAATTCTTGGAAAAATGTTTAAAAGAAAGCATCTCTAAAAATAAGCCTCCACCCTACATATCCCTTATAGCTCAGATAGTGTATGCAAGTTTTTATATATTTTTTTAAACTATCTTGATTATCCTGGAGTATACTATAGATCCAATTGAGATTTAAATTCTCCAAATTTATTTGCTGTGAAATTCTACTGTAAGTCCCGGAAGACATCAAAAGTCTAAATCTTACCTAAAAGCCAGGACATTTTAGTATTAAATCTTTACCTTAAGTGAGTTTAGGCAAAATACTCCTATAAAGCTTCATTTATGAAGGATAATGGCAAAGGCAAAATAATTTTTCATCAAATTCATCAACGAAAAGAAGTCTCCATTTTTATGATATATCAAGAATATATGTACATCAATGTTGCCAAAAAAATAAAACAGGGAAAAATATTTCAAAATTTCTGATAATTTTTTCCCAGTCTTTTTTTTCGAGTGGATGACAAAAGGCAACATAAAATTTCATTGTAAGTCTCTGAACAAAAGAAATTTGTATATGTAGTATGTGCCATAAAAGTCATATATTTTATATAGTAAAAAATATATTTTCGAAAAATTTAATAATCTGATAAGAGATAATTATATACTTATGGTATACAGTCCCTTTTAAAGATACATATTATCTTAATGAAACCCCATATAGCATTACTATTCAAAAAAGGCTTGTCTATCAATTCCTTAAGAGTAATTTTTAATAATTTTCAAAATATCTCAGATTGGCTAATTTCTAGAAAATTTGTCAAATTTGTTTAATTTCTTCCCGAAAAATTTCTTGTTTGGATTAATGTTTCTTTAATCATGTCTAATGGTCTCATATTTAAATGTAACCGTCCAACGGTTTGATTTTAATTTCATACGCATTTCATATGTCTACTCTATCACCTCAAGGACTTGTCAACCACAAAGTTGCTTTTAAAAGCCCAGACTAAACACCTGTCCACCATTAATCCAGGGACAACCAGAAGCCGCACCCACCTTTTGCTAAATAAATATTTCAGTTTTTATTTATTTTATGTTTCATTACAATAATGTAGATCAAAGTCACATTCTTCGGCATTAACCCGAATGTATGAAATGCAGCAGCAGCAGCAAAAATTATTAGCTTAAAACAAATCTCTTGAATTAACTAAAACTAAAACGTTTCGCTAAAGCCATAAAAAAATTTTATCAAGAATTTCAATCGAAATCAGGTCAAGTTTAACCAGCCAGAGAAACTGAAATGAATTCATTTTTTTTTTTTTTCATTTCGTTTCTCTTGTCTGCGTGTATGTATAATTATGCATGAATTTGAAATGAATAATTAAATGCGAACAAATAATGTATGGCATGGCAAATTGGTTAGAGTTGGAAAGAGAAGGAGAGAGAGAGAGAGAAACCGTAACTAATAATAAACGAAACGACAGCCATTAAGAAATTGATGACGTTAATTAAAGGTTAGATGTTATGTCTTCGTTAAGGCAAACGAAAGATCGAAATAGAAACATGTTTTAAGTTCATGGTTTAATGATGTACAAAGATTATAATGTTGTTAGGTGGTGTTTGGTCGAGGTTCAATTGTTTATATGAAATTAAGAAATATCGATCATGAAACAACGTACAACAACGCAAGTTAATGGTTTAATATGTTTAATTACATTTGATTTCATAGAAGGTAATTTTTCACTTCATAATTTATTTTTGAAACATTGGTAGTTTTTTTTTTTTTTTTTAATTTTTTATGACTTGTAATTCTAGAAAAACAGATAAAGTCCATATTTAAAACTGGCTTATATTTGGACAAAAATTTGGACAGCAGAGAGTGTTAATGCAATGTCTGGAAGATTTTGAAAGAGTTTGAAATGATGGTCTACTTGATATATTGAGATATTTAAATTCTGAACTACCCTAGAGAGTAACTGTGCATACCATCCCGATAGAGAGCGAACTCTATGATATGAAATGATCGCGTTTACTTGCCAAAGAGGTCAGCTGAAAATGTGCACCTTCGCTTGGTCACCAGAACTCAAGCGGCGGCCAAGGTGATGGTGTGGGCCGCCATAACAGCCGATGGTCGCTCTCCGTTTATATTAATCGACCGTGGCATTAGAATAAATGCCGAATATTATCGCGAAAATATTCTGGAGGGTATATTAAAGCCTTCGGCACGCAAACACTTTAGCTGCAGACCTTGGACATTCCAACAGGACTTAGCATCATCGCACTCAGCACGCGCCACCCATAAATGCTTACAAAATGAGGTTCCTCGCCTCATTTCAAGAGGATAATGGCCGCCAAAATCTCCAGATACCAATCCGTTGGACTATTGTGTCTGGAGTATTTTGATAAGCAAGGTTGGGCCAAAATACCACAGAGCAACATTCGGGCAGCGTGTGACGGTTTTATTGGCCGTTTGAAGGCCATAATTCGTGGCAAAGGTGACCAATTCGAACAAATCTAAACTTATTATATGGCTTTTGACTTTGTTGCAGTTTTTTTTTATCTCACCCTGTATGTATTCCTGGCCTTACGGTAAGATCTAGGACTTATAGTAGAATT